TACCGAAGATCCTACACGCTCCCTTACTTGCGCTGCTTGCGACCTCCCGAAGCCGAGCTCGTACTCCGTGACATTCATGAAGGCCTATGTGGCGGACACTTGGGGGGCAGGGCCGTCGCTCAGAAGGCACTACGACAGGGGTACTATTGGCCAACAATGAAAGCAGACGCCGTCGGGCTAATCAGGAAATGCGAGAAGTGCCAAAAGTACACCAATATTCACCATTAGCCCACTGCCGACCTCAAGTACCTCACCAGCCCATGGCCCTTCGCACAATGGGGTATCGACCTACTTGGGCCATTCCCGCCAGCAACAGGAGGGAGGAAGTTCCTAGTAGTGGTAGTAGACTATTTCACCAAGTGGGTTGAAGCTGAAACTCTCGTAACCATCACAACTCAGAATGTCCAAAACTTCTTCTGGAAGAACATAGTGTGCCGCTTCAGGCTACCTCGGGTGCCGATCTCCGACAACGGTAAGCAGTTCGAAGACATCAAATTCCAAGAGTGGTGCCAAGGCATGGGGATCCGGCAAAACTTCACGTCGGTTGCGCACCCACAAGCAAACGGTTAGGCAGAAGTCACGAACAAAGCTATCCTCCGCAGACTAAAAGCCAGGCTAGACCAAGCTAAAGGACTATGGATGGACGAGCTACCCAGTGTCCTATGGGCCTACCGAACTACAAAGAAGACCGCCACTGGAGAAACTCCCTTCAACCTCACCTACGGCACGGAGGCAATCATCCCAGCCGAAATCGAGATCCCCTCACTTCATTTGGAAGCATACAACGACAACACTAATAACGACGAGCTACGTACCAACTTTGACCTACTTGACGAGGCGAGGGACCTCGCATACATTAGAACCGCAACATACCAGCAAAGGGTAGCTCGGTACTACAACGCCAGAGTTAAGAAACGAGACTTTCGCGTCGGCGACTTGGTCCTCCACAAAATCATGGTACCTGAGTCCGGCGTTGGCAAACTCGGGCCGAACTGGGAAGGACCCTACCGAGTGAACAGAGTACTCGAGGGAGCGTACGAGCTCGAGACCCTGGAAGGTAAGCAGATTCCCCGGGCGTGGAACATCGTCAACTTAAGACAATTTTACTTATAAGTTATCAAACTAAGTAGGCCATGAGCCATTACCGAGCTAGCAAAAACCTCGGCACCAAAAGGGGCAGAGTACCGAGCTAAAGATGACCTCGGCACCCCATCAACGAAAGCAATCTGCACAAGTATGGACCCCGAGGCGGAGAACAGATCGGGCACACAACCTTACTGTTAACTCACCTCGGGGCACAAGTCTAGTAGCTCGGGTATAGTCACTTCGGCAAATGGAGAATAATTGCACAACACATTTGAACAGAAAAAATACTTCATTGATAAATGTTTGCTTTACACAACAAAAAAACACAAAAAACACAAACGGGCTCACAAGCCTAGAGGTCAATCTTCCCCGCCATCAAAAGGGACTTCGACAACACCCGAAGGACCCGCTTCGTCTTTGGAATCTGCATCGTCATCAGCTGCGGCAGCCATCTCCTTAGTGATGCGCGAGGTGGTTATGGCGCTGATATCAAGGTCGGGGTACGTGTTCCTTATCATCCATCGGCTCAACTTGAAACCCCGTCTGTACAAGCCCACCATCATGTCGTCAAAGTGTGGCGAGGCGACATAATCCTCAATGGCTTTCGCCTTCGCCTCCTCAATGGCCTGAGAAAAGATCTGCGTCTTCTCCCTATTGTCTTCCTGAAGGTACTCGACCTGGTGCTCCAGGTCCAACTTCAAGTCGGCCATATGTCTCACCACCATTCCTAAGGCCTCTTTGTCCCTCTGAGACCTCGATAGCTCAGCCCGCGCAGCACGAGAAGCCGCCTCGGCAACTTCTGCTCGTCTCAAGCGTCTCTCCGACTGGAGCGCCAAGGCGTGGATAGAGGAGTTCGCCTACCAGAGCGAGGACAAATCAGCTCGGAAAAAAATAAAACCACTCCGACTTACCACCATGGCGTGAGTTGCAGCTCGAGCACCTATGACATTGGTAGGAAGATCGGCCCACTGCGCGACCTCCTCAGGAAAAGTGGTGGCCTTGCTTTTTCGGAGAGCGTATCCCGGCGTCAGCATGCTCCCAATCCCACTGTGGCTCCCTGAGCCCGAAGGCGCGGCCCGGGTATAGGCAAGGTCAACATAGGGAGCCCCTGCCGCCTCCTGAACTGAAGGGGGCACCTCGGGCTCCCCAGGAGGCTCCGTCCTCGTTACCTCGAGCTCCGCCACCCGGGAAGGATCGGCGCGAACTCGCTTAGCAGCTCGCTTCTTCCGCTTCATGCCAGCAAACAAGTTCGCACCTCGAGTCTTGTCTGCCTCCATAATACCAGCAAAAAGGAGCTCGACGTCAGAAGACGGGAATAAAAGCAGAAACAAAAGTATCTTTATCTGAGCAAGAGACCTACCCGAACTCAGACCGGCCTGAATGAGTTTATCCTCCGTCAGATAGGCTTCGCATTTTAGCCCAAGCCGGGCCCAGTCCCGGAGGCCCTTCACTGTGTCTTCATCTAAAACAACACCGGGGTCAGGAGCGGCCAAACCCCACTCAGTAGGAAACGGCCACCCCGTAGCACTTTGAACCACGAAGTAGTCCCGCTTCCATGCTGGGACCTTGTTTGGGAGATCGTGTAGGAGCTTGAAGCTCGAATGAGGTGACAAATAGTACGCCTTCCTACGCTCGGGCAGGGGACCCGCTTGTTTCTTAAGCATGAGAATAGCGGAAAAAATTTCTAAGTCCAAAGGAAGACAGTGCTCGCAGCAAAGGGAGATAGTCTCGACAAGGTTGCGGATAGAGTTCGGGTGAAGCTGACCTACAGTGATGCCGAAGTGGTTCATGACCTCGACGATTAGGGGATGGAAGGAAGGCGCAGCCTGACAACAAGCTGCTCCCAGAATATCACGATCTCATCCGGACCGTGCTCCCAAGGAAAGTTGCCCGAGGGTAAAAAGTAAGTATACTCCCTAGGCAGGTTGTACTGGACGAAAAGGGACCAAAGGCTTTCAGACGTCATAGTAGAGGGTCCGAACTTATCTGGCACCCGACCTCGACGAGAGGTGGATGCCAAACTACCCGAGGCGACTCGGCCTACGGGCTCAAACTCGAGCTCTTCCTCGAGCTCTACCTCGGGCCCCGCCTCGGACTCACTATGGCTGTCGGGGGCAGCAGCTCGATTCGTAGAACCGGCGTCTGACCCCCCTAGAGGACTATCCGTGCTACTAAAACTAGACATCGAAAACAAAGAAGGCTGAGGAATCACTAGGAAAAGCTACCGAGCTACGAATGAGTGACGCGAGCTGGCAGGCTTGGACGCGAGCTCAAGGGACAAACGCTGAAGGATAACAGAGGAAAGTGACTGGGGGTCCCCCCACTATTTAAAGCCACTGTACCCGCGCATCAATGGCCAAGATCGAAACCATCCAACAGCTCCCCGCAAAGTCAGCTGTGCACTCCCCAAAGAAAAGACGCTTTGGCGCGCATGTTCGAAAATTCAAAACTGTTTGGCACGCACATTAAAAAAATTGAAAATTTGAAAATCGTTTGCGCGCGTGAGCCACGCGCAGTCCGGGACTGACCCCTGGTCGAGCCAACCCAACCCCAGTTGAGCTGAGAATACAAGTAGACCGGACCAGAAAAGTTCCTGATCAAGGCCAAAGTGTCTCGAGGCAAATCCACCTGTCATTTCGTGAACTCCCCACGCCGGGCCAGGATCCCAAGCATAGGGAGTGGGGGGCAATTGATGGAGGAAGATTTGACCCGACCCCTTGACCACGTGACACGTGGAAGCAACCGAGAGTGACATGGTAGAAGCGCCAGCTCGGCACGACAGCAGACCCACAAACCCGAGCTCCGAACTAAAAAGTCCCGAGCTCCCTCAAGGAACCTACGACCCGAGCTCCAAACTAAAGAGTCCTGAGCTCCCTCGAGGAACCTACGACCCAAAACGGTCCCATCCACGAGATATACATAGTTCCGAACACCGCCTTAAAGCCAACATACTTTTTGTTTTTGAAACTAGCTATATTTCGCCGTAGGGTTGGGATAATTAGGGGTGTTCACAGTCCGGTTTGGAGAAGATCTTAGACCCAACCAGTAAATTATGGTTTGAGATGTTTCTAAACCTAACCAAACTGTTTTGGTATGGAAATCAAATCAGACCATACCATTTTATTACGGTTTGGTGCGGTTTCTAATAAGATTTGGGGACTTGAACCATTCTATGATTCTATTGGGCTTAGTCCAATTAGAAAGCCCAAATAGCTTCCTTAAAAATTAAAACTTAAAACTTTTATTTTATTATAAAATAGTTTATTATATATTTATAATTTTATGCATTCAATTTAGATATTATATATTATATATAATATTTATACATTGTATATTCATATTATATTTATACATTTACATAATATGCATATATAAAATTTCAGTTTACGGTTTAGTTCGGTTTATGAAATCTAATAAATCAAACCAAAACCATAAACCATAATTTAAAAAACTACCAAACCGAACCAAACTGTTAGGTGTAAACCGAACTAAACTGCAAATTCAGTTTGATTCGGTTCGGTTTTACAGTTTAAACCTTATAATGAACACCCCTAGGAATAATCATCCTTCAAGATTTTCTAAACTTACCCTATACTTGCGTAATGAAAACAGAAGTTTTGGAGGGAGAATAAGCCCATGAAATAAATAAATAAATAAATAAGGACTCAACTTACAATGACTCAAATGCAAGTAGTTTAAAGTTTAAAGAATCAAGAATGCTGCTTTTATCATCTTTTCTGATGCCTACGTGGATCAAACTTGGACAGGTCTAGAACCCTCAGCTCGTGAACCTTTAGACATCGGTGAAGCTGCACCTACAAGATCTGTGGTCAATCAACCTAACAAATTTATACCTTATTTTTGTAGCTTATTCATCTCTATTTGATTGAATTTCACACTGCGATATACTGACATTTGAAGCTAAAAGATCCATCTCCATTCTCCAATTATGTATTCAGCATAAAAGATAACATACATCAAGCTACCTTTTTTTAACCAAATCCTACAAATTGTCGACTGAAATAGACCAGTATTGGAGTATCGGAGCAAGGCTGTACGATTATACACGCACGATATTGTATATAAACAATAAGTACTGTTGGTATTAACTCATGAGCACAGCAAGCCACATCCTATATACTCATCATATTTTTATTATGTTAATTATTATAAAAGTGTAGGAAGGACAATCAGATTTCAGGCAGCAGCATCAACAGCACGGTTGCCGAGCTCCTTGTTCACGAAAGCTTCAAGATACTCCTTCCTGAAAGCATAAGATTTTAAGCCAGAAACGGATGAGTTAGACATTCATATCGGCAACAAAATGGCAGGTAGAAGTAGAACTCTCCAGAAACATTACCTTGCAGGAAGATCATCATGAGGGCGATTGTACGGAGTCCAGACCGGATCCCCTACAAAGAGTCGCATTGCCTACAAAGAATACATCGTGTAACGTAAGAACATCGATAGCTTTCTCAAGGATGAGTTTCGCAAGTTCCATACAGGCACAAACATACATTAATTATTTGGGCAGTTTTTTTTTTTGCAAAATTATTTGGACAGTTGGAGTTGGTGATAAAAATCAATACTCAGAAACATTAACATTGTAAAATCCTTTTGCCACCCAGACCCAGTGTTCGCACATCAAAAGGAATTTTGAATGAGTCTTGCTACATAGGGGGTGCAACATGGATAGAACGGGCCCAATTTAAGGTCAAACCAGGCCCAGTCCTATGTCCAAGTCTGGATCAAACTTGGGGGCTGGGGTCAAGCCTGATCTACCCAACCAATCCCAGCCTAACTAAAATTTGACACTTGGCTGGGCTCAGGCTCAGACGGGCTTATTGGGCACAAAGGATAAAAAAATAACTTTAAGTTAAACCTTATTCATATCAGTAACTTAAACCATTAGATAGGAACTATTGTATATTTTATATGCATGTATAATCAGGCCGGATTCAGGTTGGGTCAGGAACAGGGTAGGATCAGTCTGGGCTCCGGGTTACCCAAAGGCTAGGCCTACGCCCAGCCTGAAAAATGGAAAAACTTAGGGGGTCCAAGCTGAGCCGTGTAAAGTTTCAGGTTCAGTCAGTCCAGGCTCAGGTTCGAATCTGCTAGATATCTGATGGATATTATCAGATATGAATTCAGATGTAAACAAATCAAATTCGTATCTGCCTAATATCCATTTGCAGCCTTAAATTCTATTTCTCCCTCACTGGCCAATTGGTCATTAGAAGATAGCATTTATTTCCAACCTCATTCAGAATCAAGTGGTTTTCTTCTGCATACAATATCCCAATCCCACCCAGTTACTAGATTCTCTCAGATCCCCCAGTAACTGACTTACTCCATAACCACTCATAGTCAAGGTTCAAAGTATCGACCCGTATCGGCTGATATGTATCATTCTGAAACCCCTCCGATACGCCCCTATTGTGGGTGTATCAGAGGTCTGACCGGTTCAGGGGGTGGAAGAGCCCTAAACCAATCCCCCTGAACTGGTTGCAAAAAAAAAAAAAACAAAGCAATAAAAATGAGTATCGATTCACCCGATACACCCCTACTGGCGTATCGGTATTTTGAACCTTCCTCATAGTCCTATCCCTTTCATTCCTTTACCTTTACACCTAGGACCATTCATGGCATCTATCACCCATCCAACACCACCTATCTGCAAATGCTCTCTTTTGTCCATGGAGGCCTTCTACATTATACTTAACCTTGGACAAGACTAGAACCTAATGTCTATTTCTTTTAGAAAAAAGAAAAGATAACTGAAAAGTTGTAGTATTAGTAGCAAAAGATGTACCTGAGAGGGTGCACATGTATTTACAAAAAGTCCACATTTGGCCTCATCCTCCTAAACAAAACTACATACTATTGAGCTGTTTTATGCATGTTGATTGAGAGAGATGAAAAGAGGGGGGTTAGGTTCCTTTTACGAGACCGGATTTGTCGGACTCGGATAGGTGCGTGCAGGGCTGTTCTTCCAATCAAAATCAAACACATCATAGTTCACATGTAGGGACCCCAGTCGCATGTATAGCAAACTAAATGGTACGATTTAGCATACAATTTTTGAAACTAAAAAAAATGAAGAAAAACCCTACAAATGCCACTAACGATTGCAGGAAACTCTTTCTTTTTTAAGCTTTGAGAAGGGGAGTAAACCGTTTGCAATAAATTATTTTTTAAAATATATAAGTAGAGCTTGAAAATTCTGCCGATATTTTAAGATTTTTTATCTGGAAGCAACCAATTCCAGTGATCAGTTCTGGAACCCTTGAAATGGAATTTTTGTCTAGCTTAATGACCCAAAGTAGATTTTTGCCGGTCTCAGATTGGGATTTGTCTAGGAAAGATTCATTAAGGTAGAATGAGGTTGTACACGAAACGAAGGTTCCAAAAATTCTGTCATCTTGTAGGGTTTGAGAGCTAGAGGCGAGGAGTGTGAGAGAGGGGAGGGGAAAACAAGAACGAGAGGGTCGTCCAAACAAGAAGAAATGGTGAAGAAACAAAATAATTTCTTGCAAAAGCAAGAGTTTCCTGCAATCGTTAATGGCGTCTTTCCAGTCTCTTTGGTTGAGATACCTCCGTTTGAACTGGGTTTTGGCTTGCCTATTTTTCATTTTTTCTTTTTGTTTGTTTCAAAAATTATTTTATGAAAAAACTAGCGGAAAAAATTACCCTTTAATTTTCTCTGCACATGTGCATGGGGTGCTTAAGTAAACATGTGTTCAGTTTTGATTGGAAGTGCACCCCTGCACACGCCCATTTGAGTGCAAGAAATCCAATCTCTCCTTTTACTTTTCTTTCTACATTTATTCAGTAGCATTCTAGTATTATTTTGGAAATTCTTTGTCATATGAGTGATATTATCTGGACCAATGTTTTAAAATGAAGAGGCGTTCCACTACCTAGAGGAGTGAGGCGTAGTTCAGAACGTAAGAGGCATAAGCTTCCTTAAGAGGAGGGGGTCAAGAGGAAGAAAAGGGAGGGGGATCTCAATTTTTTTTTTATTATTTTTAATAAAAATCTTTTATATTAAGAAGAATAAAAATGCAAAGGAG